ATAAATTTAATGACCATGTTTGTTTCACAAATTTAGTTTCAAATAATTATATATAGTTTTTATCCTCAAGCAGTTCCGGATCTTATTATCATTTCTTTTTTTTCACAAGCCATAAAAATTTTAATATAAAATTTCATAATTGTTTTGCCATGAAAGAAGACATACTGAAAAACTTACATATAAATATGTGTTCAACACAATATCTAAAAAACATACATGTTCAACATAAGATCTAAATAACATAGATGTTTGACATAAATATTATAAAACAAACATGTTCGACATCTATCGAATCCTAAAAATTGAGAAAATGAAATAGCTGCATATATAGGTTAAAACGTCTCTAGATCTACACCAACAATAAAAATATAATATTTCTTTTCAGCTGGCTCCACAATTCTTCAACAACACGTTCTTTTAATTTTCATCACATTCTTCATCTGTTAAAAAAAACAATTTGAGGTCAATTCATAACAGAATGTCGGATAGCTATAACTTTTAACTTTTAAAGCATAAATCAATCATTTAATCACCAAAGATCCCAAATCATTAAACACAATATTATATATACCCAAAGAAAGCTATAAAAAAAACTCAACCAAAAGGGGAAATGCATGGGATACTAATTTATAACACAAGACAAACTTCATGGATAGTAAGAAAATACATGGGATACTATTCATTCTCTCGTCTAGAAAGCTTGATCAGTTGATGTTAGAAAATATTCTATGGCTTAAAAGTAACATAAAAAGCATTCTAAGTCTTTTTCCAGATTGCTATCATTTAGACCAAGTGAAGAATATCATTTTTATACAAGAGTCAACATGTTTGACTTGTTACAAGTTGTTTTATAAAGAAATTATATCATATCAACATCAATTATCTCTCTCATTTTTTAGAAGCAAATGTACAATGTATGTTCCATACATCATCTATATTGCTGAAAAGAGGATCCAACAGTGTCTTAGCATTTGGAGAAAGCCACCAGGCTCAACTATTGAACTAGACTACACATAATTCATTCATGCAGTTTAATTTGAAGGACAGGAATACTAAAGGCTTTGAGAAGAATGAGGCCACAATGGAAGATATAACCCGCAGAGTTGCTTGTGTTTGTTGTGTTAGAGCTACTGCACAACCATACTTTTATTAGATAGATGTAGCTTCTACCCAAGAAAGTGATCAAGGATATAGAACAAACCTGCACGACCTTCTTTTGGACACGGACAATAACAATGTCCAGAAGAGCATTGGTGTCATGGGAAACAATATGCAAACCACATGCTGCAGGTTATTCAATATCATAGAACTAAATAAAGCTATATGGCAATACTTAATTAGCAATTTCAGAATGTAGCGAGAAAGGACTGTTTATGGATCTGATGGGTACACAGTTATTTTATAAAAAGAAGGGAGATTGAAACTGTCCTCATACCTAAATCTGTATCATCATGGATAGTGAGGAATATATTGGGGTCTGGAGATGTATTGTTACAAGGACAAACTAGTTAGGGTGCTTTGATGGTTGAGTTTGCAAAGGTACAGAGGGGAGGCAAGTTCTCTACTTAGAAGATGTATATATACCTATCTCATGACCATATTTCCCAGACTCGAGTAGAAGAGTATTACCTTGCAAACATGGAGTGCACCCTAGGTTCAAGTTTATTATGTGGCTGGCTTGTCACGCCCCAAACTCAAGGGGCGCAACTGACTCCTAAAGCCAAAACTAAGGCCCGAGCCGACCCTGCTGAACCATTTGCTACTAGCACATGGCAGTCACATGCAATTAAGAAAACAAACAAGCATATCTCGGCTTAAAACTAAGCCCTCGGCCGGCAAGGCCCCTGTTAACAGATCTACAAAAGAACCAGCTACTCCCAAGAGTTCATATAAAGAAATATCCAACTAGCACAGAAGTCCTGATTGAGCCGTCGAGGCCACCATGATATCTATACCAAAACTAAAAACAGGTAAATATCAGTACAATACATCAAACAACCCACAAGCTTCAGCAAACCAACAACATAGCCCAGCATGGCCATAACGTAGCTATAAACCCCACACACTAGTCTGCAAGGCTCTAAGAGTAGTAGAGATTGGTGGGACAGGGCCCCAGCCTACCCATGAGAATATATACAACAAAAGGTAACAAACCTCCCAACTCTGGCAGCTCCGGAGGAAAGGGGCTGACCAATCGGATAAAAGTCAATCCTGTTGATATGGAGGTCTACTCAGTCATCTGTCAGGACCTGCATGCATGAATGCAGCGCCCCCAAGGCAATGGGGCGTCAGTACAAAATAATGTACAGAGTATGAAAGGCAATAGACTATGATGAGGTATCCTGATATACCGGAATAATCTGATAAATAAATTAAGGATAAGATAATTGTACTGACCTGCTTCTAAATCTAAATTTATCAAAAAGAATAAAACAACAACCTAACCAAGCCCCCAAAAGCTCGGTAGGTACAAACAGCACACAAGACCACCTACCCAGGCCCCTATAAGCCCGGAAGGTGTCAATCAACCTGTATACCCCTATCGGTAGTTCCCTAGCCCCGCAGGCAGTCACATAGCCCTCTTAGGCATCAACATATCTTATAGACAACTCATAGCCCTCTTAGGCAACAACATGGCCCTGTAGGAAGCACATAACCTTCTTAGGCGTCAATATATATCCCTGTAGGCAACTCATAGCCCTTCTAGGCATCAATATAGCCTAGTAGGCAACTCATAGCCCTTCTAGGCATCAATATAGCCCCATAGGCAACTCATAGCCCTTTTAGGCATCCATATAGCCCTGTAGGCAGAACATAACCCTGCTAGGCATAGATCACATTCCTGCAGCTAACAACAATAGCCCAAAGGCAACAATAACAATCCAACAGCTAAAAGTGAGCAATTTAGTTATAGGCAACCTATACATATAGCCTCTAAGTCGTGTCCAACATACGAATGTTACTACTGAATAAGAATCTCGATAAGAGAGGATTATACACACTCGAGCAGCCAACAATTAACAATAATATCTATAAGTATAACAACGATAACAACTCAATTACATTGCTTTAAGGAAACATGCCATAGGAAGAGAATAGCCTTAACATACCTTTTTCGCTAAATTCACGTGGCCTAAAGACTTTAACTCATAACTCCCTCGATACTACAACAAGGTAGGACCATAATCAACACACAAATTAAAAGATACCATGACAATACAATAAAAGATATGTATTTCCGTTGCAAATTGCTATTTGCTGCTTATAAAAGCTAGAGTCGATGAAAGAAGGGTCTTACCTCGATCTTAAGTTCGTAATTCACCTCAAAACCTTCAAATATACTCAAACCCCTGCTGTCCCAACACTAAAATGTGATATGCTACGCAATTGATAAAACAAATTATACCACGATGTTGAGCCCAACGCGTAGAACAACTTTCGTCAAGGACTTACGTCCAGAAAATCTATATTTCACTTGATCCTAAAAATGGGTTTCTATGTTTCCTCTGTATATTTAGCTTAAAATGAAGAAAAAACTCGAAGAAGAAGATATATACAACTTTCCACCGACCTAGGGCCCCACCTCACGGGCCTGCTTGCGCAGTCCCAGGAAATTGTGAATATCTCTCTATTCTGAATTCGTATGAATGAACGGTTTAATGCGTTGGAAACTAGACTCGTAGACCTTCGATTCAATAGTTTGTGGGCCCCATAACTCTTTATAGATTGGGAGAAAACCTCCAAGACATTTGACCCAAATTTCAGAGAAATCTTTAAGAAGGAACTTACGATAACTTCCGCCAAATTTTATTTTGCCACTTACCTAACTTCAAAACTTGAGATGCAACACTTGAACACTTAAAATAGGACATACCACATGATTCTTAATTTATTACTCACCCTCCTTGTCTTTCCACGAAGGTACGAGTTAATTTAGACGTTTTGAAAAGTCGGGGTGTTACATGGCTGTCCAAAGAAGACTAGCAAAAGTAGACATGCTTGAAAAAATTGGTATACAAGTGCCACATGACTGTGTGTTTTGTAGTAAAACAGGGGAAACTTTTGATCAGACTTTTATGGGGTAGACTGTGCAGCTGGTTGGGATTTCACCGAGTTATTTTTTACCATGGAATAGAATGGGTTGGGATCAGTGATATTGCCAAAAGAGTGTAGGACAAGCCAAAATTTCTACTAGTGTGTTTGTCATGCTAGTCTATGTTATATAGAGAGAAGGAACAAAATCAGATTCCAAAAGGAAAGAATGTGCCTAGACATGGTCTTGAGGGAGGTCCTGATGCATATTCATCTCCGCGGCTAGCAAAAGACAAACTGGTTGCCTGTACTTCAAAATATAAATTTGTATCCCTAGGCATTTTTACAGTGTAATAAACATAAATTATTCTAGCTTTGTATGTCATAATGAGTAGTAATATGGATAGGCTAGAATGATATATAGTAGTTAGGCCATCACTGCTTTGTTTGTACTAAATAGTTTGGTTATGAATGAAAAATCCCAGCTAACCAAAAAATATTCTGATTACCAAGAAACAAACATCCAACAGTATAAGAAATGTATCGATGAAAGTAGTATTATCTACTGTGAACCTTATTATGGAGATAAACTAAAATGAGATAACCATCTTTTGCATTTACACAATTTAGAAAGTTCAACAAGTTTAGAGATCATTATTCTAAAACTATAACACAGTAAAGATTTAACACGCAACACAAATACTAAGGTGCACATGCAGGAAAGGAACTCAGTTCAGAACAAAGGAATACATCCTGATTGAGACAGAGATATGCATAATTATATAAGCATGTAGTCTCGTTTATCATGGAAAGTAGTACAACTAAAGACAGTCTACCCTCTAAAATCAACTTATCATAGGAAGACAGACCACTGCATTAACAAAGCCCTTATCAAAGATGAACATTTGTTAATGACATCACTAAACTCATTGAAAAATCACATCATGGAATAGGTAATGAAAAGTTTGCTAACCTGGTGGAGGTGATGGATGCTGACGAACCACTATACTTTCAAGGCGATCATATTTACTCTCTAGAATATCAATATACTTTTGTAGTGATTCCTTTTCTTTTCGAGTTGTTTTCAGTTCTTCCAACAATGCAGCCTTAGAAGTACTACCACCTTTCAACTCCTTAGTGGTTATCCCACCACCAAATCCAACTGCATGACTTTTGCATTGAGGTACAAAGCACTGTTCCACTACCTCAATATTAGTAAGAGATGGTTCAGATTGTACAAGCTCTTGAATTTCAGCCTATAAAATACAAGAATGTTTAAAATATTTCACTGAATCAATCCAGAGAGAAAATGTTAAATGAAATTTATCGATAAACATACATATTTTCATTGGATTCGGGTTCGACAAGCTCATTTCCCTTTTTACGAGTCTCAAAGAAGATAGTTGCCATGTTTGGTGGATTACCATCTTTGCCTCCCTTAACAATAAAAAAAGTAAGTACTATAAGATCTTTTATACAAAAAGGAGGTTTCCTTGTAGGGTTTCATGATTTATTTACCAGTTCGTAAATAATCTTTCTTATAGGCTTGCTACCCGTACGATGAGGCATACACAAATTAGACCTGTTGATTGTGTTTCTTGTACTTGATTCCTGCATTAACAACACAAGATGAAACTATCACAAGCTTGTTTAATGATTCTATTTTTATTCTTAAATTAGCTTTTGTAACTACTTTGCATCCTCTTGAACACAAATGAAATCAGTTAATAAAAAGAACTATTCCAAAATAGTAATCATATGTGAATAAAATGATATTAATCAATAGCTATGCAATCATACCTTAAACTTTTTAGATAAAAAATGTTCCTTGACCAACCATTCTCTACTCCTATTGGCACATCTTTTGGAACCTCGTGCAATGACTTGGATTTCATATTCTTGTGCAGCGATCCTCTCCAATTGTTCCAAAGCTTTCTCATATGTTGCAAAACATTATCTGTTTGATCATTCATGTTATCACAGTCAAACTTTTCCTGAAATAGAGAAAAATATCATCAGAATCAGAGAAAGACACCTTTGATTGCAAGTTAATGTTCTTGATTAATGGATTGAAGGGTTGATCTTAATTACATGTCAACTATGTAAGAACTTTGTATGGTGAGGTACTGCAGATCATAGAAAGACACCTTTTACTGTTTGGGATAAGGTGTGCCTCCCATATATAATTTTGAGGACTAAAAGTTAAGGGATGTATGAAATGGAATGAAGCTTCTATTGGCAAACTACTATATGGAAGGTTTCAGAATAACTAGACATCCTCTGGTTATCATGGAGACATGCAGTGTATATGAAGTAATATGGCAATATATGAGATCACATACCACCTACAGATTGTTGTTGCTACTAGAGAAAGTTAACGTCTCTAAACACTGGGAGGGTTGATTAGTACTAAAAGAGAAAGTACAAGTTGACAAAGAGTGAAACGTACGTAATCAGCCACCAGGAGTTAAGGAGTTATAGGGGTCCAGACCAGTCTTTGGGAAGCATATCTTACTTGGACAAAATTTATGCAACCAAAGTATAATTAAATTTATCCTCTGGTTGGCAAACTAGAACAAGTTGCTTACGAAGACTTGAATGATGAGATTGAACATGCAGGTACAATATGCAAATTGTTGTCTATGTTTAACAGGGGTAGTAGAAATTCCTTTACACCAAGTGTGAATGTATTATGACATATTCTGGCTAACTAGACAAAGGTACAAATGATTTAGAAGGATGTGCCACAAAGTTTGAAATTGTGTAGAAGAAAGAAATGGAAGCAAACACAATAGGATGTCTAGGTAGCAATATGGGGTGTAATGATTTACCACACATGGAAAGCCAATTATTGGAAGATATTAGGGGCATAATTGTGAATACAAGTTTTGCAATTGTACAGATAAAAAAGAGGTGAGAGCTAGAACATCTATTCTGCAAACACAATGGGTGCCGCGAGGTGTCAGATTTCACTTAGGAGACTAAATATAGAGTGAATAGTAAGACTGAAGGGGGGAATTTTTTGTTTGTTTTGGTAATAGCTATTCTTAAACAAAGACCATAATAAGGTATAAACAAAGACAACACCATAATATACTCTAAACAAATGCAAGAAGAAGAGGGAAAATATTGTTGTTATAGTAGCAACGGTATCATGTCAGCGAAAATAAAAGAGAGTAATGTTGTTGTAACACCCCGTATTCAAAATAGACAAAAAAATGCAGATTTTGAGAAGTTGCAGGTGCAACTTACGGTCACCATCCATGGACCGTAGGTCAGACCACGGCCCGTGCTGGTGGACCGTGGTTCACCACTGCAACCCCTCCCCAGCCAGCTCAGAAAATTGGTTAAGTCTCGACTCACGGACAGACCCACGGTCCGTAGATCAGACCACGGTCCGTGGTCTGTGTCCGTGGATCAAGACCTCCTTTACCCAGCCTCTGACATGAACTACGGTTGACCAGCACGGACCGTCGTTCGATCCACGGTCCGTAGGTCTGACCGTAGATCGAAGGATAGCAGCCAGTTAGCTGAAAATTCTGATGGGTCAACTTCAGATGGTCATAACTTTTAGCACAAAATGAATTATGTGTCCCATGACCTATGGTTATATAGATAATTGAATTACCTTTCCAACGCCACCGAGTTTGCTAAATTCCGACCTCCGAGTAAAACGTTATGCCCGTTTTAGTGAAGACCTGTCGGGCAGACTCGAACTACGGACCCAATCTACGGACCGTAGATTGACCTACGGCCCGTAGGTCCAAACCGTCGGTCACTCCGACAGCAGTTAATTCAGGGGTCCTTTGGTCTTTTCCTATTTCGTTTAACCCCTAAGATACGTCGTTTAGACCCTAAATCATGAGGTTTTAATTAGTTTAAGCCTAGAAACATAACTAGAACTTACCTAAGTCAAATTCATTAATCAAAACATAGAAAATTAGAAGCAAGAAGGGAGAAAAAGGTCAAGAACCCTAGTTCAAGAACGCAGCAAGTTTCCTTTAGTTCCAGCCCCGAAATCGAAAGATTTCTCCGTGGAATTCGTCACCAGGTATGTGGGATTTCACTAGTGGGTTCCTTTCGCCCATTAGGTCCCTAGAATTCAGTCAGATTCTTGATTCCATGATTATGAACAGACCTAGGGTTTCTAGAATTTGAACAGATCATCATGAATTAATTATTTAAATGTTCCAAATCAGATTATCATGTTAGTGCTCAGTTTATCGCATGAATTTCAGAACCCTAGCTATGTATTTCTTTAGTTCTTGAATTACACATGCTAGGTCAGATATTTCAGTATTCAGTTATACATGCCTCAGTTTATGAATGCATCATTATCAGATTAATTGTTGCATTCTCAGTTTGCATGTTCAGTTTCGAGCTATCCAGTATTTACAGAAATTCAGTCATAACTAGTTAACCACTTAATTCATTGGGAGTAGCATAATACCGAGTTGGACTAGGGTTTCAGCGTACCCATATAGTCCCAGAACTACGAGCCACGTAGGTGTAAGTCCCCTCTGTGGGCAACATCAGTTTAGTGATCACGCCAGCATGCCTTTATACCTCTGGCAGGGTATATTGGGTCCTCTCGATGGGGCGTATACATCGGACTCCACATTTAGCTCATGTGGTTTTATGTCGGTTATTAGTAGCTCCCACAGTTCAGTCAGACTCTATTGCATTGACCATATTTCAGTACAGTCAGTATTCAGTCTCAGCATGTTATAAATTTGGTCATTGCATCAGTTAGCTCAGTAATCAGTATTTTCAGTATCTATATCATGTTCAGATTATTTCATTGCTTTATTGCTTTGTTCAGTTATATGTTCTTTTAGCTTTACTCTATCCTACATTTCAGTACAGTCAGTATTCAGTCTCAGCATGTTATAAATTTGGTCATTGCATCAGTTAGCTCAGTAATCAGTATTTTCAGTATCTATATCATGTTCAGATTATTTCATTGCTTTATTGCTTTGTTCAGTTATATGTTCTTTTAGCTTTACTCTATCCTACATGCTCAGTACCTTTCAAGTACTGACGCATACGTGCGCTACATCTTCTCGTGATGTAGGTTCAGGTTCTCAGCATCCAGATCACGCTTAGATCGATTCCCGATCTTCAGTTCAGCAGAATCAGTTGGTGAGTCCTCATTCTTCGGGGACAATAGTCATGAGTTCTTTTCAGTATTTCAGTCTTTTAGTTTCAGTTTTGCTAGATCTAGTTGGGGCATGTCCCAACATTTCTAGTCAGTTTAGAGGCTTATTTCAGACATAGTTAGATTCAGCTTAGTGTTTTGAGTTTGATATTTCTTTTGTATTAAACTCTCAGATTTCATATATTCAGTTACAGTATATGGGTATTCCCCATCTTTTCAGATGTATTTATGATTTAGCTTCTGCATCAGTTTATTATCTTTAGTATGCTCATGATCATGCCAGCAGGGTTAGCTTGGGATCACTTGTGGTCCTAGGTCCCGTGTCCGCGTCTTGGGGGTAGCTTGGGGCGTGACAGTTGTAATTCTTACTGTAACAGTTTCCCACATATGCTCAAGCTTGTGCTCTTCGATATCCATCCATGAGTGTACCCGCAATGGGCACATATTACGATCACAAACTAGCAAACCCAAGTGTCTTGTAAATGAGGTGTCATTCGGCCCAACGACATGATTTTGATAGAAAGTAACTTTTAACTTTTCTCGAGGTCTTAATCGCAAAACTTTCTTACAAATGTTTGTTCCCCTCACCTTGGTTGTCCTATCATATTCACATGGACCTGCAAAATTTAAAGTAAGTCAACTATGCTCTTTGATATAAATTTGATCTTTAGTGCTAAACCATCAAAAGAATCTGGAGAATACTCCAGTAGTTATGTTTTAGGTGTCAACTTTTGAAATTATTATTGTATACAATGGTCTGGTCTTTTTATATCTATAAGACCAAATATGCAAAATAACATTCTATCTGGTTTTCGACAAGTACCCATGCACAGTTCCAATCCAAGTGACAACTAGACAAAACAGGCAGAACATAGCCCATTGCAAGAGATAAGGCCTCAAGTTGCCAAAAAAAGGTGATACAGAAAGGGGCAACTAGTAGTGGAATAGATTTTGGAAAGCTTAAGATCCCAAATCAATGACTTTTAATTTTTAGAAACTTTCATTCAGAAAATAATAATTGATGAATCAAGAATCAGTGGAGGTTGATATGGTTAGGACTAGTGAAAAAAACCATAATGAAGCATCAGATGTCAAATACATAGGAAAAATAACTTTTAAGCTATTTTACCAGTAACATCAAGAAAAGAAAATATCACACGGAAGAAAATACATACTAGTTTCATTTTTCGTAGCATCTTCAGCCACTTCAATTACTTTTTTAGCCTTTTTAGACTTTAATAGACCTGCAAATTATAACATTAAAACAAAATAAAACTTCAAGCCAACTAACAACAACAAAGAATTACTCAAAAGAAAGTAATATATACTAGTATCACTTCTCTGAACATCTCGATACACTTCAGTCATTTTTTCTGCATTATCATATCCAACTGGACCTGCAAAGTTTAAAGTAAGTCAACTATGCTCTTTGATATAAATTGATCATTAGCGCCAAATAATCAAAAGAATTTGGAGAATGATCCAGTAGTTACGTTTTAGGTGTCAAGTTCTGAAATTATTAATGTATACAATGGTCTGGTCTCTATAAGATTGTAAGACAGAATATCCAAAATGCCATGCTATCGGGTCACTAAATTTCCTTTGCCTTTGAGAGGTACCAATACACAGTTCCAAACCAAAGGACAACTAGACAAAGCAGGCAGAACAAATGTGAGAATCCCCACAAAAAACAAAATGTGATACAAAAAGGGGAATGGACACAATCTAAGAAAGATGTTGCTGAAGCAGGATTGCAATTCTTCCAGAATGGAGAGTTACTGAGACAAATAACTACTAATATTGCCCTTATCTCGAAGGTCCTTGTTCCTTAAAGTGCTAGTCATATACTAACATATCTATTTACTAGGGAAGCGAGTCATAGAGAATTTGTTTACTGCTTTATATGTAACAACAAGAAAATACTTACTATTTTGATTTCCCTTGGAACCTTGAGCCACTTCAAACACTTTTTTTGATTTTCTAGATCCAAACGAACCTGCAAATTTAAGTGCAAGTAAAAAAAAATCAAGACTTCAACTCAACTAACAAAAATAAATTGCACAAATACAATAAAATAGTAGTATCACTTCTTTGGGAAACTCGAGGCACTTCAATCACTTTTTTGGACTTATTGAATTCAAATGGACCTGCAAATTTTTATGGAAGTCAACCAAAAAAAGAAATTTATTCCCATTAGTAACAAAAAGAATACAAAGGAGATTAAGTAGAGAAAGCTAAGCAAAATTTCTTGATCAAACATATTAACCAAACTAACTCTTTTGCAAATGATAACTTCTTAGAGTATCTAGAGTCACTTCCGTTTCTAGAAAAAGGATGTCATTGTCTTACATTGGATTAAAATCAGGAGGAACAGGGATACTTTTCTTTGCTGGCTTATTTCGACTAGAAGTTGTTGTAGTATTTCTATTTTCGCCAATCATAGTCCTTTTTTCAGCATTAATCCTTAAGCTTTGTTCCTGACCCCTTGCATCACTGGTCAAATTGTATTGATTCATTTTAGCTTCTTGATGGAGGGGAGCATTGTCTTCCTTTTCCTCAAAACAAGGATGCACATGGAAACTATTATCTGCTAGCTTATTCAACTTAGAAGTTGTTGTATAGTAACTTCTATTTTTGGCAATCGGAGTCCTTCGTTCAGCATTAACTCTGATAGTGCTCATAGATTTCAAACTTTGACCTAGTCCTTTTGCTAAGGCACCTGGCTGAATGAGTTCATGCTTAGGAATTTTTGAAGCTTGTCCCATTTTGTACTTCAGAGTTTTTGAGGGATTCATGTCAACCTAGTTAATACAAAAAAAAAAAAGAGCAAAGTCTTCCAAACAAAAGTTCAAATAGGTTAGGAAGTTTTTCATAAGAATAAATGTGAATTGAAAACGCATTCAGAAAAGAGACAGATGTACATGTAACATAGGTTCCTAACATGAACCATTACTACTATAGTAAGATCAAGATAACATTAAAGACCAAGTGCATCAAACAAATTTTCATAGAAATACTATAAAGAATCATTACCATAAAAAAATTACTAAAGTAAAGGAAAGCATGACAAAGCTCCAAACCTTAACGAGTTCTTTTTCTTTCACTTGTGTAGAGTTATCTAACTCTTCTAAGTCATCATCCTTTTTTCCCAAATTATCAAAAGAATCACGAGGTTGAACCTTTTGCACTATGTGCAAACCTTTATTGGAATGATCAATAGCATAAAATACTTGTGATGCTTGGCTAGCTAATACAAATGGCTCATTTATTTTCAAATATCCCGACGGTTAACACTTACAAATCCATATTCATCCATTTTAACTCCCCTCTTTTGATCATACACATCAAACCACATACATCAGAATAAAATCACTCTTCTTCCCCCAACAAATTGTAATTCAAGAACCTCGGTTAACTCGCCATAGTAATCCATATGGTTTTGCTCTTCACCGGTCTCACCTACTACAACCACTCCACAATTTTGAGTTTTCAAATATTGATCACTCTTTCACATGAAACCTATATCCATTAACAATATGACCTTTGAATCTTGTGACATATGGCATAGGGCCACGTGATAAAGATAGAAAATCTTCCATTCTCTTACTATCATCATGTTTGTATAATCCTGCAACCTGACAACATCAAATAGCTTTTTAGAAAACGATATTTACATACTTGATTTAATAAAAATGATTAATTTCTACTCACCTTTTTTTGTAAACAACTAATGAATTTTCTATTCCACTCCACATCTGAACTTTGTTGAGACGTCTCACTATAAATTTGTGAAAATTCTCTAACAAAGAATTGAAGTTTTACATGTTATTTTAAATTAAACATATAGATAAGGTATAAATAAATTATTAGATTAAATCAATACTTACTCGAGAAATGGTTGAATTTCATCACATTTCTTCAAAATATAAAAATGTGCATCCTCCATATCATTTGAATCAAGTTTGTCTGGTGTGCTACCCTTTAAACTCTTTCCAGGTTCACAAAATATTGTCAAACCACCCTCAAATTCAATTACACCACCATCATAATTTCTCTCTGGACAATTAAACTGTGTCTTTATTGTATTTAAATACCTTGAACATAAAGTCATACATTCAACTGCTATATATCCCTCTGCAATCGAACCTTCAAGGTGAGCCATATTACCAATAAAACACTTCAAAAAGTGTAGGTATCTCTCTATTGGATACATCCATCGATATTGAATTGGTCCGGCAATCTTAGCTTCATCGTGTAGATGAATAGACAAGTGCACCATGACATCAAAAAATGCAGGAGGGAACACCTTTTCTAACTTGCACAATGGTATTGGTATTTGAGCTTCTATTTGTTCCAATTCCTCTACGCTCAAACATTTTTCTCTAAGAATTTTGAAAAAAAATAGACAACTCAATAAGTGGTTCAGACACGGATTTGCAAAGCATACCACGCATGGCAAGAGGGAGTAAATGTTGTAAAATTATATGACAATCATGACTTTTTATTCCTGAAATTTTTTTATCCTAAAGGTTGACACATTGAGAAATATTTGAGGAAAATCCATCTGGGACCTTTAAATTCTTCAAAAATTTGAAAAACTTCTACTTATCTTCATCAGATAATGTGTAAGATGCTGTTGGCAACTCATATTTATCTCCATTTTGTATTGGATGCAATTCTTTTCGTATTTTCATTTGTTGTAAATCCAATCGAGTACTCAAGGTGTCTTTTGTTTTCCCTTTGACATCTAAGATTGTCCCCAAAATACTGTCACATATATTCTTTTCAATGTGCATCACATCAAGATTATGTCGCAACAATAAGGTTTTCCAATATGGAATATCAAAGAATATACTTTTCTTATTCCAATTATCACCCCTTTTCTTGTGTAATATTTTAATCTACTTCTGTGGACCCTTTGTTAGTGGCAACCCATCTAAATCAGCAACCTGATCAACTATATCATCACCGGACAACATTTCAGGCGGTAGCCTGTGCTCAATAGTGTTATCAAATGACATTTTATCATTTCTCCATTTGTGAGTAAGAGGAAGATAGCGTCTATGGCCCATATAACACTGCTTTTGGCCATTATTTAGCCTTGTATAGTGTGTTTTTTTTATTGCAACATGGGCAAGCCAATTTTCCTTTTGTACTCCATTCAGACAAATTTCCATATGCTGGAAAGTCATTAATGGTCCACAACAAAGATGCATTTAACGTAAAATTCTTTCTAGTTGATGCATCGAATGTCTCGACTCCACTTTCCCATAATTCATTCAACTCCTCTATCAAAGGTTGCAAATAGACATCAATTGCATCACTAGGACTCTCAGGGCCAGGTATAAGCATTGACAAAATAAAGTTCTCTTGATTCATGCAAAGCCAAGGTGGCAAATTATAGGGAATAAGTACCACGGGCCAAATGTTGTATGGAGATTTTGACATTCCAAATGGTTGGAAACCATCACTAGCAAGTCCAAGTCATACATTACGAGGCTCAGCAACAAAAGATGGGTGAAGCTCATCAAATTTTTTCCATGCCATTGAATCAGCTGGATGCCTCATTACTGCATCATCAACTCTTTTGTCATGATGCCATGACATCAAAGGAGATGTCTTTGAGCACATAAATAATCTTTGAAGCCTTGGCTTTAGAGGAAAATAACGTAAAATCTTGCATGGTATCTTTTTTCCTTTTTTCAATTTTTTTCCCCACTATGTTTACCATCCTTCCATCTAGATGCACCACACACTTTGCAAGATTGAAGACAAATATCATCCTTCCAATATAACATGCAATCATTCTTACATGCATCAATCTTCTTATAATAAAGCCCAAGATCTCGAATTACCTTTTATGCCTCATAATATGAATCCGGCAAGTTTGTTCCATCCAACAATAAATCATCTTTCAAAAACTTCAACAACATCGTAAATGACTCATTACTCTAATGACCAATACTTTTAAGGTGAAGCAATTTAACCAAAGTAGCCTATAAAATCTTTTTGCTTCATCATTTGGTTCCTCCTCTAGCAAATCATCAGCACTATTATTCATATTATCTCCATTAAAATCGGGGTACAAATGTCTCAGCAAACCATCTTTTTCATCCTCACCATCATCCTCTTCAATGTCATTATCATCTATTTTTTCAAAATTTGATTGTTCTTCACCTGACATCTCCCCATGGTGATACCAACGAGTATAACTTGGTATTATCCCATGTACTATTAAATGTGACCTAACTACAACACATGTTCTAGAAGTTGCATTACCACATTTAATACACGGACAACGTATCAACTATGGTTCTCCTAATTTTGTAAAGGCATAATCCAAGAAAGTCTCCACCCCATCTATATAAGCAATAGCAATTCTGTCTTTAATGAGTTCCATCCATTGTTTATTAGGCGCCATTATCTCCATGCATGTAAATAAATATAATAATACATTAGTATAACAACAAAGTAGTACTAATTAGATATTTACTTTTAGAGTTATAGATTCATACACAATAGATGCATATAGTTATATACGTATTATGTTTCAAAATAATAATTTTTGCATGTATATTCTAATTAAACATCAATAGTAAAAGACCAAATAGTTTCTACGTTTATGGTTATGAACTGGATATACAAAGCAGGTTCATAACAAATTTATAAAATTATAAACAAAGTTTAGAGAAGTTCTACAATCTAATCTAATTATATTTATACAAGAGTATGTAAAGACTAAAGAAACAAAGGTGAAATATTTTATATTTTTTTATTTGTAGCATTTAAATTTTGTTATAGTTGTGCATTTTGCTATTACCTATATTGAACACATCAAAGTTTTGATAGTGCGTGATAGTTCAACATTTCACGATACTCATACCATTGTTCAAAAACCGATGGAACACAATAAAAGATCGCAACCAACAGTTACCTCTTAAATATGGCTAATAAAACTAAATTAAAAAACATAGCAAAACAAATGACCACAAAATTGAGACAAATACTTTGAATATTTTCAAAAACACATCAGTAAAGAAGAAAAGTTTAGAAAAAGAGAAAAACGTACCTTACAAAAGAAATTAACAAAGAGCCTTCAAAAGAATAGTTTTGGAGACACTTTCAACAACAATAACAAGCACCACCACCGACAGATTTGTAATCAAAGCCTACAACAACCAAGAAAGAAATATCTGAACATGAGATACACTTTATAGAAAATAAAATATGAAATACAACAAAGAGCCTACAAAAAAATAATCAACAAGCCACATGAAACCACATAGACATAATTTCAGTATAGTCTTTCCAATAATGTATATTTCCTATTTCAAAGAGTTCATCCAATTTCAATGAAAGAAAAAATACATAGAGAAAAGAAAGGATGTGTTAACCTTAAGTGTGGAATACAAGAAATATGGTCATCACAGGGGTGGAATTT